GGCAGTGAGGGTGGAGGGGAGCCCGTCGACGAAGAGCAGGGGTCGACGAAAGATTCGGCATTCAGCACCGGGAGCGTCGGCGGTTCCGAGAAAAGGAAGACATGCGACAACAAACCTTTCGAGGTCGTCGCCGAAATCATGGACAAACATGGAACGCTCATGGCATGCACCATGGAAGCGCAAGCAAGCGGCGATGTTCCATGATGTTACAACAGTGTGAAATCCTGTAGAGTGAAGTGGAAGTGCAGAGGAAACATTATGTTGTGGCAGATGAGGCGAACAAAATGATGTGCAACACCCTTCTGGAGATAGCGAGAGTCATCCGCGAGAAATCATGACGACGCTTGGCCTTTCCAGCTCCGAGCCTAAGCGTCGTGCTTGCTGCCTCTCCTTCCCGGTGATGGAAGCTTTAGCGTTCTGTCTCTCCATCCAATGTGACTGCGGCGTCATCGATCTGTGTGTGTGTGTGTACAGTTGATCGCACGAGCGTGTGTGTGCGACGATTAGCAAGAGGGCTGATTGATGTTTGTTTGTTTTTATTGTCGTCGCCACATTGTCACAAGGTTTTTTTTTGTGGTTGTTTTTTATCTCTTTCATATTCGGGGGGAGTGCTTCGTGGATGTTTTGCGAGTTGCAAATTCACAGAGCCATGTGTGAAAGGGGTTCTGCGCCAGGGGGGGGGGGGGGGGGGGGGGGGGGGAGGAGTGGTCTCGCGGGGTCGGGGGGATGCGGGGTAGTGGGAAAGGTTGGTTGTTTTTTGTCCCTGTCGATTGCATCGACGCACGTGGTCAGGCCCGTCGAAGGGCCTCTTTGAGGCTTTGGGAGAGCGGTGGTGATAACAGATGTCATTGATAGGATGGATTGATGTGCATGGGCGGTCTGGAAAGCTGCGGTCGCACGTGTCACCATTGACGAGTTCGCCAGCCAAAGAAGCGACGTTGTGGCTGGTCCATCTGCTGCGTCTACATCAAGCATTTGCATCCCGACCTGCATAATGGTCGTCTGGTCGCAGCGTCTTCAGTACAAAAGTTGGCTGCCGCACTTGCTACACAGCGAGCACAACCACGCGGGTAGCCCTCCAACTTCTGGCCTCATCGCCTCGGGGCTCTCTCGCCTCATCGTCTCGGACCTCTTCAGTGTCGTGGAGCATCAACGTCGTCGCTCTTCTCGCCTTTTCGCCGCGAAACTCTCTCGCCACTTGGATCTTCGGCGTTTTCGCTCCTCTCGCACTCGCGCCTTATCGTCGTGGAGCTGTCTCGCCACGTGGAGGTTCTGTGTCGTCACTCTTCTCGCCTTGTCGCCGCGGATGTCTCCCGCGACGTGGATGTTTGGCGCCGTCGGCCTTTGGAGCAGTACAACACGAGCACTCTCGCCTTATCGTCGTGGAGCTCTCTCGCCACTTCGAGGTTCGGCATCGTCGCTCTTCTCTCGTTATTGCCACGGAGCTCTATCGTCGGGCTCCTTACCCTCCTCTTGTACATGTGGACGACGACATCAGTTGTGCGTCGTCAACATTTGTTCTTTGTCGCCGCAGAGGCAGTCCTTGTCATGCGCCATCGGTACGCATCATCGCTTTTATCACTAGATTCGTCGGACTTCAATCGCCGCTCAACATTCTACTCTTGCTCAGGATGCTCATCCGATCGGACCGCCAACCTCGCTAGTGGAGGGCAAGACAAACCATGTCGACGCGAGTCGCCCCCCGTGTAGAAAGCAGGACAGCATCTCGGATGACACTCAAGGGCGGGACAGGGGTTGGCGGTATGTCCCGAAGGCGAAGACGCCGAAGAGGGTTCATTCAAACGGTGCTTCACGAAGCGTACCTCCTCTAGGCTCCTCGTGAAGCGCACGGTTGGGCGAGACCAGCGAAAGCCGGTGACGACAGCGTATTCACGACGGAGGAACTACTGGCGGAGGCAACCGTGTCTGAAGTGCAGAAGAGTGGTCGCCAACATCCTTCTGATCAGACAGTTGGCAGGACAAGGCTGACGCCGCCACTTGAGGAGCAGCACATGCGTGCCTGCGAAACACGGAAAGAGGAGGCCATCGTCAATCTTGGCGTCGATGATGAAGAGAAGTTGGAACAATATCACCTGTGCAATGTAACCCAAGGCGCCTCAGCGACGACACGGACGACACACGATGCCAGTGACAAAAGGCCACCTCCGGGTGGACTGCTTGCCACACCAACTGAGCTCCGTCCGCGAAGCCCCGCTCAAGGGGGCAGGTCCGTCGAATGTGGCGGCGGGGGTGAAGTCCAGGTAGATGCGCGCACAGCTAGGGGCGAGGCAGTCGGTGTTGCGGCTGCGGGAGCTTAAGGCATCGTGCCCTCCGTTGGACGGGGTAGAGAGGACGCGCATGTCGAGCGGGAAGTGGCGCATGGCGAGAACAGAAATGATCGGGAGGATGACGACCCGCTTTTGAGTCGGCTACGAAGGGGAGCTGTTGTGAAAGGTTTGGTCGACCGCGCCAGGCAATGGATTGATGACAAAGCATTATGGAGTCTGGACGACGGGGGAGGGGCGAAGAATATACAACATCGTCCACAAAACGCGAGAGTATTTTGTTGCCATCGCCTGCGGTTTTCAAGCATCTGTCGTCCCCCGAAGCGTCATCATGCCAAAATCCAGCACAAAGCTCATTAGGATCACCGACCCCACACAGGTGCAGCAAGTGATCTCTCGTGCGGCGACAGAATATTGCTCTGCGCGTCTTGCATGGGTGGGTGTTCAAGTCTGGGAACCGCCTGAGAGGTTACAATCTGGCTTTCCAGTACGCACCGGAGTCCGTCACAACGGACATTGCGCGTGTTGTGTGGTACGACGAGGAGTGGAGCAACCTCGTCAATGCAGCCGTGTGCGCGCACACAATAGACCTCTGCATGGACTTGCCACTGTGGTTCGCGGGTGCCAACATCGAGGACAGGCCTAAAGACAACGACATGGAAGCCTACCAGGAGTCCACCATCATATGCATCACACATGCATTCCGCTCCACCGTTCAAATGGGCGCTAACATCGACGGCGGGTTCATCTCACACGACCGTCTTTTGAGATCAAGCTTTTGTTGGCGGCAAGCATGTGGTTGATGCGCATGGCGGGAGTCTGGGAGATGATCTGCGTAGCCAGTATGAAGCATTCTACTTCGCCAAGCTCGTGGCGAAGCCTACACTCGTCGCGCCCATGCATCGGTCCTTCGAACATAGACGATCAATCATCCACACTGCGAACGTTGTGACGGAGAGGCTCAGGAAGGCGAACGCAACCTTAGGATAATACCCCAAGTACATCCCAGAATGGGCACCCTCCGACATCGTTTTCAGGCACAACGAGAGCATATCCGGGCCGGAGGATGCGATGAGGCTGGATTGGTTGGGCACGGGCCCCCTGGAGGATGAGAACAACGATGATGGAAAGGATGACGGGTAGGGCGGCGGCGAGCGTGAGATCCCCTGCGCGGGAGAGGGAAATCGATAGGAGAGACGCTGGCGTGCCAACATGTGTAGGTGCACGTATAGACGTTGGCGGTTGTATCGGGCTTATCGTTTGTTGTGAACTTGGCGAGTGTGCCACTCCTGCGAGTTGAAGAGTGACGTTTTATGGCATTCACTTCCACATGAGCATAATTCAATCAAATTGTCGTGTTTTGTGTTGTTATCCTTGCTGCTAATGCAAAAGAACAAAACTGCGCAAAGAGCGCAGTGCCACCCTATTTTTAGCATGCGTCGTCCACTATTTTCGCGTGTTCGATGTCATGAGTGAGTGATGATTGCCACCTTTGCATGCACACCTCTCGTGTTCGTGTTCTTTTCATCTGATTGTTATTCGTTTTGATGGTTTCTGTAGTTGTTTTTATGATACCAGTATTTTTTTATTTTTTTTTTGTACAATCGAAGACAGACAATCCACACAATGGCGATGAGCAGACAAGGTCGAAGGCCCAAAGTCGTGAAATGTTTTCAACATGCAATGCCACATTTCATCTTGTTCATGCTTTATTGTCGAACGAGAATAACAATTGCCAGAAGAACAACAAAACACCCCTCGCCACCGCTCCACTGAACAGGCGATTTGAATCAGAAAGAACAAGACAAAATTGACTACCATTTGTCCAAAATGACAATATAATTAAACGTAGGGACGACGACATCGCCCCTCCGGCTTGAGCCACCCGACTGTCTATTCACCATTGTCGCCATGTGTCAACAAAACTGGCGCACAGTCTATGACCGCAGGTCCGCAGTGCATCGTATCTCCAGCACACGGCGGAAACGCCCGTTGGCGGGCTGCCTAAACAACTGGCGTGTGCAACCGTGCACTGCGACACTTACGAAAAAAAATAAGCCAGCCTAAAAAGCATCATGCCGAAGGCACGCACAAACACTCCGTAAAAGGCGGGACGAAACCACCGATCTGCCCTCCAGGGAACACTGCAATGACTGCATGGGCGCTGCTGTCCACCATGCCAACACGGCTCAATCGTGTTTCATTCGTTCCGCCAGAGCATTCCGCAGGTTCAGCGCTTCGTCTTTCGAAGTAATCATGGAGACAGGTTGAAGGAGCTCTTGAATCCTGAGGTCTACACGTCGTCGCACACCGTTAGCGTCCACCTCCCATAGCAGATTTTCGTCGAATGGAATTCCAACGTCGATCAAGATGTTGTGCAGTATACAGACGGCAGTGAACTGCTATAGGAGCATGTCCAAGTTCATCTTGTGCGTTCGCAAAAACAACCGCCACATGCCCTTCAGCCTGTTGAACCCCCTCTCCACCGCTCCCCTCGCCACATTTTGCTTGTTGTCAAACCGCTCCTCATCGACATGCTGATTGACGCCTCCATACGGGACGGCCATCCATCCTGAAGGGGGGTAGCCATTGTCCGCCAAAACATAGCCGTTTGCCCGCACCCCGAACGGGAATGTCACCGACTCACCGGGGGACCGCGGAACAACGGCCCCGACTCCGCACGATTCTACAGGCTGGACAACTGGAGCACCCTGATGTCGTGGTAGCTACCCGGGTATCCCATGTGCACATCGAGTACACGCAAGTCAAGGTCGACGACAACCTGCGTGACGATGGAGAAACGTCACTTCCTGTCATAGTAGTTTTCGCTCGGGGCGTTCGCTGGCTTGTCCACGTATATGTGAGTGCAGTCAATGCAACCGTGGCAATTGGGGAACCCTTTATCAGCGAACACCCCCAGAACGACGAGTTTGCAAACTCCTGTCGGCCAGGCAATCTTCTCTCTGTACACTCGAAGCAGCGCGGCAGTCACGTCACGGGCAGCAACCAGGCCAGAAGCTCTACCAATTCCGAAGTTGCACGTGTTGCTCTCGTACGTCTCCCTCGACGCCCACCTGTATAGAGCGTACGCAACAATCTGGTATGGTTGCAAAGGCTCCTCGTAGAACGTCGCCCGCCGCTGAAGATGAGGCGCACATGCCTTCATGATTTCTCGGAACACTCGCGGCGACATGCGTAGCTTCTCCCGGAAGTAGTCGTCTGTCGCGTTGTCACATTGCCTGAGGTCTTCCCACATGCCTCCAGTCCTGCGCTTCATCCACCATTTCGGCGTCGCTCGGGGAATCGCTCCGCAACCCAACGTGTAGCACAGTTGAATGACAACCTCCGAGGTCGCCACATAGTCGGGGCCATCATCTGGAGCTTGTGTCAATGTTCTTCTTCTACGTGCGCGCAACTGCTCCTTCATTCGTCCCAGCACCCTCTCCTGCCGACATCGAAGAACAACCGTCGACACGGCTGCCGCCATGGCCTGAAGCTCAAGCAGTGTCAACAACGCACATCCGCCCTCTCTACTGCCCTCCATAGCCGCGACCTCCAGATGGATCCATCTTCTGCGCTGCCGTATGTGTCGTCCTTCCACATCCAACGAACAAGCCGAAGACGTCCGACGAAGCTGCCGCCTTTCTTTCGATGCATTCCTCCCGACGGAAATGTGTTTGACTGCACACTCGACGTGGACACAGGTCGACAGCGATGGACGCACCCAATGATGCCAATGCACTCACAGCGGGCGGTGGGCGGAAGGGACGTCACCGCTGAGCCAGTTTCAGCACTGCGCCGTCTTCGCACCACCAGCTGCACGTCGTTGTTGCTGTCGCAGCTGTCATTCAAAATTCGATTTTCAAACGCCGCGGTACCCCGGGTTTATTCTTTCTGTGGCAAGCCTGATGCCGTTTCCCGCCAGACGACACTAGACCACGCCGCCTCAACACGGACAACAGATGGTGGACCACGTACAACCGACCCCGCGCCCACACACTTCCGTATGAAAACGGCGGCGGGCACGCCGCAAGGAAACATCCTCGGGGGACGTCCCCAAGGATGCGTGGAACGATGCCACAAAATTACCACAAGGAAAATTCCTTGTGGCTCAAGGAACTCCTACAGAGTGTCTAACGACGCCTTAAGTACTGGTGGTTTAGCAAGCCACGACAATCATTATGATGAAAGAATAGCCACTACGAGAACGCCCGAATTCAAAAAAAAAAAGATCTGACTAGAAAGGCTTCTAGCCTATTCTTTCCTGCGGCCTATATATGGGAAAGGTTCTGGTGATTTGATCCAGTCCTCCTTTTTTTTTTTTTTTTTTTTTTTGTTCCCCGGGGGCGGAATGGGCCGGGCCACGCTCCGCTGCAGTGCAATACGGAGGCAACGCTGGAAGGGTCGAGCAGGCAGACTACCCCTATGACCCCTCCGTAGCCCTGAAAAATTAATTTAATACATACTTGCAAGCGGACGCCGTCCGGGCGGTTCCGCACGTGCGGCAGACTGCCGGACCGGACCCGCGCGGCGCACGAATGTGCGCCCGACGACCAGTTACGCCCCCCCCCCCCCCAAAAAAAAAAAAAGGCCCTGTCCGGTCCAGTCCATGTCCGTCCGGTCCGGGGGGAGGGTGCCGCACCTGGCAAAGCGGACTGGACCGGACGGACGCTCATCTGGTCCGTCTGCTTGCAGGTATGATTTAATATCATGTGGCCCGATGGACCACGGATGAGATATTAAACTGATCAGAAGAGAAGCTGCACTTGATCTTAGCCAAAAGGCCGAGAAAGGTATGATCCAATCCTCTTTGCTCGTGGGACCTCGCCCTGCCACATCCAATCTGAGACTGCGTTTGTTTTCTCTTCCTTTTTTTTCTGCTTGTGACGCGGGCTATTCCTGGGAAGCCACAGGGGTGAGGTCCTGCTAGCAAAGAGGATTGGGTCTAAAGTCTGAATCTGGATGTGTTCCTGGATAGGTGCTGAATCATATTGTAATGGATCTGCTTATGTGCATCTCTGCATAAAACACGTCCAGATTCAGGCAATTGCTTGGTCCGAGATTCAGGCAATTGCTTGGTCCGACCTTGCCCGAGGTGCCAGAGAACAGGTCCCACATTCCAGTCAACAAAACACACTGAGGTAAGATACTAGTAGGGACAGGGGATGGGAGTATAAACGTGGGGATGGGTAGGGTAGGTGGCATATCCTGTCAGGACAACCATTGGCTGCCGCTGCCAGCAATCACAGCGGGTCTGGTCCTTGGCCTCTACAACAACCTGGGCTTCCAAAAAAAAAAAAAAAAAAAGAAAGAAAAAGAAATGAAAAGAAAAGAGAAAAAGATCATGGGCATACTTTTGCAAGGTTGAAATAATGCCCCCAGAATACTCTTAAGCTATGTTCCCACCTGTACGCACGCTTATACAAGTACGGATTCGCACTCCTGGGGCGAGATCCCACTAGTAGCGGATAGGGCGTGTGACCCTTCGGCACCGTTGATGAGAACGGTGATCAGTGGTGTTGTTTTTCTTGGTTTTCGGTGTGGGGAAACATATGACTTTTGGGGGGCTCCCATTGGGTGGCATTTCTGTTGTTTTTGTTGCAGTGCTCCTCTGGGGGTCATGGATGTGAGTGAAAATCGTACCAACTTTTTTGGGTTGGATTTTCACGCACCTTCCACTTACTTTTGCATAGTTGCCATGCGTTTTTTTTTGTTTTTTTTTTTGAGGCCGAAAATGAGAACGTTCCCCTTTTCTCATCATGAAGGGATGTCAGTTCGTGTCAGAGTCTTCAACAACTGGTCTGTCATTCCAAGCCTTGGGGAATCGGAACAGCCGCATGCAAGTGGACACTTTGCTTATGGGAAAGTTAACAAATGTCTGTTGGCCTCATGTACATGGTCCATGAACCGTCCACATGCACAACATGCCAGCGGAATCATCAGAAGATCCACAACCTGACAGCTGACCGCAGTTCGCGGCGGGTGGACAACATTGCGTTGTCAGAATTGCGGCATTTTTTTTTTTCAACATTTATCGCGGAGTAAAGGATGCCACACGGATGTCGCCCGCACGTCCCGCAACCGTCACACTACTCCACATACATCGTTAGTGGGATCTCCCTCCTGTACTCGTACGTTAGGCGGCCGTACGAGTTTCTTTCTTTTTTTTATTTTTTTATTATTATTATTTTGTTAATCCAGTATTGTTTTCTTTCCCCCCCCCCCTTATATTCTAATCAGAATCTGCAGATGATGCTCAGCCAAATGTTGTTTGTATTGTGCTGTTGCATAACATTTTTTTTTTCCGGAAATTTTTAATGACTTTTTTGTTTTTTTCCCGTACGGGCCCTAGGCAGCGTACAAAACGTTTTTTTTTTTTTCTTTTTTTTTTCCGTATGAGGGCGTACAAAACGTACGAGATGACGTACAGGTTCCCGTACAGGTCCCGTACAGATATTACCTGTACGTTTCGTACGGAGAGGCCCCATACGTGTACGGCCCCATACGTGTACATTAGGTAACGAAGCTCTTAAGGGCGAGATCCCACTGGCAAAAGCAATTGGAACATGTGTCTGAAGATCCCACTGGCAAAAGCGATTGGAACAAGTGTCTGAAGATTCCACTGGCAAAAGCGACTGGAATAAGTGTCTGAATCTGGACGTGTTTGTGGAGACGTGCAAAAAAGTGTAATTGATCTGCTTTTCTGCATCCCTGCGTGGAGCACGTCCTGATTCAAACATTTGTTCCAATCCTCTTTGCCAGTGGTATCCGGCCCTAAGGCTTGACAATGAGGGTGTGCTGTTCTTGCATTCGGGTGACTGCGGTAGTCCACGCTCGAAAAGTCCTGGGTTCTAGGCCATCCTCCTGCCACGTCAGTGGGATGTGGCTTGGGGGGCTGAGCAAAACATTTGGTCCACGAGCAAAACATAAGGTCCACGAGCAAAATATGTGGTGTAAATGGTTGTGTGCGAGTCTAGTTTAGTTCTGTTCATTTCGTACTCCATCCTTCAAACCTCAAGGGAGGCCTCCAATTACCGAAGAAGTGGGGTAAGGACCAATCACTGCTTTGGAGTCGTCGTCGGGATATAATCCGTTAAAATTGGGATGAGAAAGAGAAAGGCTTGGGCCCCACTCCATCTTTTCATTTCATTTAAGTAAATAGTTTTCCTGCAAGTTGAACTTGAATGGAATGTGCGCCTCCCAAAAAGCTGTTTTCAGTTGCATGTGATGGAGCACGGCTGATGCCAATTCTGGCGTTCATCAGATTGGGGAAGCAGAGCCTATTTTCTCAAGAAATTCCCGGGACAAAAGAAAGCTGCAGTCATGTGTGGAAGAGTACCGTTCATTGTTTCCTTTTGCAGGTCTCGAACTCCTGTCGGTGGGAGGCAGCATGAGTTAAGGCACCCCTTTTTTTATCGGAATCGTCAGGGAAAGCGCCTGTAGCGGCAGGCAATGCCTCAAAGACACCACAGTGTGACAGTGGGGAACTGTTACAAGCCAAAGAAGCTTTTTTGGGGGGATAACTACGGCGGAGTCACGAAAAGAGTTTCTAAATGCATTTGAAACTGCCTTTTAGCAGTCCAGTCAGGGCCCGAGTTTCAAATGCATTTGGTAGCACCTCAGTCCCGGCTTTGTTCTTCCCTCTCCAGCTTGACACCACGGGCCAACCCCTGTAGTTATTACACCGCTCAGTGTTTCTTCCAGCGTTCTCGCAGGAGATTCATTTCCAGGGGGCTGCAACGGGCGGGAGGGCAGAGAGAGAGAGAGAGAGAGAGAGAGAGAGAGAGAGAGAGGGCACTAGCGAAGTTCCCTCTCTCTCTCTCTCTCTCTCTCTCTCTCTCTCTCTCTCTCTCTCTCTCTGTGTGTGTGTGTGTGTGTGCGCGCTCCTGCCCGCTGCGGCCGGGCGCCGAGAGCTCCGAGGTAAGCCGGGTGTCCTACCTACAGGGGTTGGCCATGACGGTGGTGTCAAGCTGAAAAAAAAAAGAAAAGACCAACAGACTCCCCGGGGTGACCGTTCTGCTCACCCACGTTTCAACTGCATTTGAAACTTGTTGCAGAAACGGAGTTTGAAAACTCTGCAACAAGTTTCAAATGCAGTTGAAACGTGGGTGAGCAGAACGGATGCCCCGTGCGAGTCGTGTTGCTTTGTAACCTAGCCGGGTGGGAGTGTGAGGCCTGGGAGAGCTCTACAGGGAATAAGACAGTGTTGGATAGTTTTAGAGAGTTTTGTTTGGGAGTCTAGGGGTTCTGAGCATTCGCAAAGAGGTCAGTAGTCATTCATAGTTTTTCAACCTCTTTTTAATTCTCTTGAATTTCTTCAATAGTTCTTGTAGCAGACCTCTGGTTGGCCTGTGAGACCAGCCCCTTGGCCTGTTCTCACAGGCCTGTATTGTATTCAGGGTAGTCCAGTCCAGGTCGGTACCTCTGTCGGTACCAGCCAGTCCAGTCCAGTCCAGTCAGTCCACTGGGGTATACCCCAGCCAGAGTCTGTATTTCTGGTCATTCTACATTCGCACAATTTGGAGTATATGCGTTGGAGTCCGCGTGGGAGCTGCGCTGTGCCATCTTGCTCCACCGTCATCCTCCATCTCCAT